TGGGCCTATTCCTCAAATTCCTTAACTGGGCTCCACTTCTTGGACCATTTTAATTGGGCCTCATTTTTGTATGTCAACAGTTACCATGTTGATTTGATCTTATTCTTTTGTGCAGAGCTAGGAACATGTCAAGAGTAAGGTGAAAACCTATGGAAATATTTTCTCATTTTTGGATGGAAAGATTTTTGGATGGGAATAAAGGCATGTGTGCACAACTTTCATCCCATAATTACTATATACTTATGTATATTTATTATGATTTATTTATTTCCGTCAAATGTCAGTTTTTTTTTTCTTATTGTTCTATTTTATTATAAAATGCTGGCAAATTATATATTTGATTTGATGTCAAAATGCTTTTGATCATTCTGTGCTGGAATCTGTCAAGAGCACATTTTTGAAACTGTATTGACTCTTCAGTTTTTCTGTGATTTTGAAATCCCCGCTACATGTTTTCTAGGATACTTTTAAAATATTTATGGCAACTTAAAAAAAAGTAATATAAGAGTAAATAAGTAGCAAATGCTTTATAAGTTTGATAAAACTTTACTAAAATTTTATTAAATTTGCAATCAATCTCAAAAGAGCTTTGTAAAATAGGAGCTAAATTTTTTAGTTAGGGATTTAAAAGTGTAATAAATTTTCAATTATTTGACAATATTGAATTTATCGGCATATACGATTAGTTGGCGGTGCATAGGTTTTTGAAGAAACAAGAGAAGGGGTTATTTGACAAACCTTTTGATAAAAGTTGTTGCAGTTTTTTATAAAAGTTGATAAACTGTGTAGTTGAAATGTTAACAAAATAGTGGATTTCATGATATGTATGGTTAAAATTGAAGTTTGACAAGCTTGTTAAAAAAAAAACGATGACTGTCAAGCAGGGTCTCAGTGTTGAAAATTGGTTGGTCTTATCATAATGTTGAGTGGAACCCAATTCTTATTTGTAGAATATTAAAGGAGACTTGTGTTTTCCTCGCGGGAATATCAAAACCGTATATTTACATGCTCAAAATGATGTTCGGATGAAAAAGAAATACATTATCAAGTTGGGTTATATTGAGTGTTGACCATTTAAATGGTTATGTTCACATTTAATGAATCATTGAGAGGATTAGCTGTGAAAGAATTCTATCCGGCAGCACATTCATAAAAAAATTTTAATAAATGTTGATAAAACTTGAATTAAAAGCATATGTTAATTCTGAGACAATAGAATCACCTCCTAAATGTTTGAACTTTAGAAACAAAACACACTTCTTTCATGTAAATTTTATATAATTGACCCTCGTCTCTCTTTCCAAATTTACTAGGGAAGTATTGATTAAAGTGTTGGTCAATAAAGATATTTGGGTACTAATAGTGACACTACAAATGTTATTTATTACACCGCATTATAACTATATCTTAAATAAATTATATTTTTAATAAATATATTAAATTAAAACTTAAAATATTATGATGTTCATTCCTTCTTAATTTTACATTTCTTCCATTCTCCCTCCCCACCTCATTGGCATTCAAAACCTTGCCCATGAAGAAGAAAAAAAAAAAAAACATTTTCCCACCAACCACCACTACCAATTAATCCCGAATCCCCCCATTAATCATGCCTAGAAAAAGTCAAAAACTTCTCACACCCCACCAGTAAACACCCATTTCTAATTCTACCAAATGAAATATCAACCCCACCCACTGTAAGCACCCCTCCACCACCCTATCTACAACAAGTTAATTTTAATAATTACTTACAATCATCAAGTTTTACATAAATTACAAAATCAATGAAAAAAAAAAATCCATCATAATTACCACCAAAAAAAGAAGCAAAAACAAGTGTAGTGAGGGGAAAAAAAAGCATGTCCACGGTGAAGAAAAAAGTTGCAGGAAAAAAGGTAAGTCTTACGTTTGTGGTGGAAACAAAATAAAAAATTAGTTTTAAAAAATATTTAAAAGAATGTCTATTTATGTAATACTGCTTAGGATTTTTCAAGTAGATAAAACATATATTTAAAATTGTGGTGTAGTAAACAAATTTTGTAGTAGTAATATAATTACTCATATATCTTAGCAACTCGTGGCGATAAGGTCAATTAAGCCCTTGTTTGTTAAAAAATATAATTTAGATTTTTGTCAAAATCAAAGTCAATAATCAATTTTAACCGTATATTTCATCGGTTCCACAATTTTTCGACTACACATTTCGTCAACTTTTATAAAAAATCTCTAAAAAATTGATTTTAATCTCCACCAAATAGGGGTTTACTTGAATGGAAAATTACTTTAGAACAAAATCCTATCTTCTTGTTTTTATTGTACGTTTCAAGCACAAAGAGTTGAAATTCTACATATGTACAATTTTGATTGTTGACTTCAAATATGGGTTTTGTGTTCATGCAGCCAAATTTGGATTTAGACATTATCCAGATTATGACGTGCAATATGTTAAAAGTTACAAAAGTTAGTCCCATCTCTTGTTTTAATATACCTGTTAAATGCTAAGAGTTGAAACTCTGTATATTCAAGAAAATCTTCATATAGTTGACTTCAAATATAAATTTGGATTTGGACATTATCAAGATTATGACATGCATTACACTAATTAGCCTCCAATATGAGCAAATGAAGTATGTCTTGAGAGACTTTTGTGACCAAAAAGAATGCAAAATTTACAATTACATAGGTTCAAACTAAGAATAAGTCACAAAAATCATCTTAGGGCAACCCCCTAGTGCACGCTTTAGAATGTGGTGTGGACCACTTGTAGGTAGGTACCACGGGCAAATTTCTTAATCATGTACCCATCATACAAAGAGTTTCGCGAGCTCAATGCATACCCAGTCCCATCCAACTTGTCCATCATGAAACACATATTCTCCACTACGTGAAAAGTAGTCTACGACAACTTTTAGTTGTCATGAAAATAAAATAATTTTCATGGTGCTCGTTGTTTTATCTATTAATTAAGTGGGCTACACGTGACAGGGTGAGTCTCTCATTGGTTGACTCGACAATTGATTAAGTCAATTGGATTGGATGATTAAATCAAGCAACCTCTTCTTGGACCTTGGCTAGGACCCAGTCCACTAACTCATCTTAGCCCATTTCCCTTCCTCTATATTTACGTGAGCTAGTTCATTTTCACGTCCAAGGTAAGCATTTTTAAACCGTAGCTAAATCTCCTCACCTTTCTAACTTGCACTCGTTGCTTCTCCTTTCAGCAGTAGACTTGACCTTTGAAGTGCAAATTGTCTGAATTTTTTCTCTAGTGGTGACCTGTGCACTCTAAGAGTGTATTCCAGCGTACGGGTGATGTTTCGATAAATGGGGTGGTGATCGAAACTCTATTAGCCAGATTTTGATAGTAGTATTGTGATGCATAACCAATGTACATAAAAGTGTAATTCCTTTCCAATTTGTGTGAAATTCGGAATTGTACCTAAAATGTTTAACTAGCCAGTACGTAGTGAATTCGCGATTAAGGAAATTAATGATGTAAGAGGTTACTAAAAATGTAGACTTGGGTCCCATCTGAAATAGAAGGCCGCATGGAAGAAAAAGTTTGTTTTGAGTACGAGTAATGATATTCATCTCTACTGGGAATGAAAACACAGTCTAGGTGGCTCTAATATGATATAAAATGATAGGTGAAATTAAATAAGTCATTTAATTTCACATTTAATTTCACCTATCATTTACAGCCACCTAGACTGTGTTTTCATCCCCACTGGGGATGAATAACATTACTCTTTGAGTACGGCCATGTTTGACTAAGCTAAAAGAATTTACTCAGAAGTAAATGATTTAAGATAATAATATTTTATTGGTAAAAAAAAAGTAAGTTATTCATTTAAGTAACTTTTTTTTGTTCAGAGTTTGAAATTACATGTTTCTGTACAATGAAGACAATTAGGATGTAAGTTGGTTGGCCAAACCAAACAAGTCTTTATCTTTTTTACTTTTTTATTTTTAAAATTTTTTTTTTTTTACAGTGCTTTAAAGTGACCGTAATTCGTGCTTGAAATAGGCCCAACACATGATGTAACTATGAGTGAAAATTAATTTACCATTGTTCCAAAATCTTTATCTCTTTTCTTTAATTTCTCCATTAAAGCATAACTTAATCCCTACATTTTTTACTGCTCCAAAGTCCAAATAGAAGACGTGTTTTAAATACGTCTAGAAGAAGAAAAATAGCTTGATGGGAAATCTTGAAAATTGAACATTAGTTTGATGGGAAAGAAAGAAAGAAACCAGTTGCTTCTAGTGAATTGTTCTGATTCCAAAATCAGAACTAGATCGATTTTCACTAGAATAGGACCGAACAACTTGGGTGGGTCCGTCTCTAATCTTGGTTGGGTGGTTCTGCGTAAACAAACATATGCACACCCCTATCCAGTTCTCTAATCTTGGTTGGGTGGTTCTGCGTAAACAAACATATGCACACCCCTATCCAGTCCTTTGGAGTTGGCCATTATATTTTAATTTGAGAAAAAGAGTGTGTAAAACAAATCCTATCGAAATACTCCTGAAACTTACGAAGATAATTTAATTACAACCTATAAATTCACTAAAACTATGCAATCAAACAAAACTCATGTAATTGCATGATCCCAATCCATACATTGCCAACAAAACCACTATATCTATGCAAAATCAAGTTATGTTCCTCAAAATATGCCAAACTATTTCAAATTATAACTAATTTAACACATCCAACATAGAATGTCTTTGTCCTTTAATCTTATCTAATCAAACATACTAAACATATACACCTTAACGTTTTAGAAAAAGTTGACCACAATTTTGGGACTGTAATGCTCTAAAACTTTAGTTGAAGGACGTGCATGCAAACATAGAAACTTTTCATTAATTTGGTCCACAATGCTAATCCGACAGAGAAAGAATTGTCATTTCTAAAGTAAAAATAATGATTTTTCTTGCTTGTGGTATATTACTATCAATATCCAGTGCATCAGTTCAATGTTGAGCAATTTTCCATGGATTTAACTGTGAAGAATTTTCCTGTATTCCTTTTGGTTCTTCTTCTTCCTCTCCTGGCTTTCTGTGATGAGAAACAGGTTATTGTTAATTCTTAACTATGTCAAAACCTACATAGTTTATTTTCCTTTCATGTCTCTCACCAAATATATTGTCATTTGCAGGTGTACATAGTGTATCTTGGAGAACATAGTGGAGTGAATACATTTAATGAAATTGAAGAAAACCATTATTCATATCTGTTCTCTGTGAAAAAAACTGTCGAAGATGCTAAATCTTCACTTATTTACAGTTATAAGTCCAGCATCAATGGCTTCGCGGCATTTCTCACCCCAGACGAAGCCTCAAAACTCTCCGGTGAGTGAAACCACCACAAGTTCTCTCTCTCTCTTTCTGTATTTATTTTATTCAAGATGTTAATTTTTGTTGTCATTAACAGAGGTTAAGGAAGTGGTGTCTGTGTTACGAAGCCACCCAAAGAAGTACTCTTTGCAGACTACGAGGTCGTGGGAATTTGCCGGTTTACAGCAAGGAAGTAAAGGGTTTCGGTTGAAGGAGGACTTGTTACTGAAATCAAGCTATGGAAAAAACGTTATCGTTGGCATATTAGATAGTGGTAATTTTCTCCTACCATGGCACTATATATACATATTTCTTTTTCTTTCGTAATAGCATTGGACGGTGATAAAAAAATGAACTTTGTTCATCATATTAAGTGCTTGTGTCAAAGTGATTATCTGAAAGAAAAGTTGAAAAATATGTGGCTGAGAAGTAGAGAAAAGTTACAGAGAAAAATGAAAAATAATTTTTTTGAGAATGTGTCATTGAAAATAAATGAGAAAAAGGGTTAAAACATCTGTAAAATTGTGTACCAAATATGCGTCATGTTCTTCAGTGTGTACTATTTGTTGTATTTTAGCATGAAGTATTATTCACCATACTGCCATGATTCCATGTGATGAATATTTTGTTTTTATTAATCAGGCGTGTGGCCAGAATCAAAAAGTTTCAGTGATAAAGGGATGGGACCATATCCATCCTCGTGGAAAGGAATTTGCCAATCTGGAGATGCATTCAACTCATCAAACTGTAACAAGTGAGTTCATTTTTCTGTAACAAGTGAGTTCATTTTTTCTTTAAGTTTTCCTTCAACAAATGTCATTTATTTCACATTCTATAGCTGCCCTTGTATACTATAGAAGAAAAAACCTAGCCATTGTCGAACCTCATCAATCGTCATCACTTAATTGATTACACTCGTTAAAAACGTCAACTAAGCAATAGGGGTTTGGCACACTCCTTTACAGCTAAGATAAACCTAACTTGAATTAAGGAACTTTATACCTCCAAAGAGGGATAAGGTCTACTTGTAGTTTGTTTCCTAAATTATCAGAAATGGCATTTTCAACTAAAGCATGCATTGGCATCGTCTTTCTGTCCTACATTCATTTCCTTACATGCATCACTTATTTGGTCAAATGGATTGGACTTGGAGTAATACTATTTAGCACAACTGGTTTAACACTAGTTTAGGTGAGAGCACTAGTGATATTAAATTACGGGATCAATTAAATAAATTATATAATTTCACTTATAATTGAACATATCACAAAATGTCACCTAAATTAGTGATAGACAGCATAATTCTTGGACTTGAGTAGGTTGAATATAAAAATAAAAATGTTTCGCAGAATATATGACTCGTGCTCCTTTAGGTTCTTNTATGTTTGGCTAATGATTACTAGCTTGTCTATTTCCAATCAAGCATGGGATAAATTCTGGCAAACAATTATTAGTTTTGGCTTCTTGCATTGTCATCTTATGAACTTCATTGTCGATATTTGACTACGTATTTTTTGGCCCAAGGCTTTGCCAATTATATTCTGTGATTTTACAAGACCAATTATTTGAGGTCTTTCCCTATCTTAGAGATCATTGTATAGTTGTAGAGCATAAACCAAATATGACCAATTGTAGTACCTCAACACGACATGAGCACAAAAGATTTCTCTGTATATAAAGGCAAAAAAAATCACTTATTTTGATCGTTATACTGTATTTTAAAATGTACTTATAATTTGACCAATGACAGGAAGATAATTGGTGCAAGATACTACATCAAGGGTTATGAGGCATACTATGGGCCTCTTAACAGAACATTGGATTACCGGTCCCCTCGTGACAAGGATGGACATGGAACTCACACGGCATCAACAGTTGGAGGCCGAAGGGTTCATAAAGTTTCAGCATTAGGAGGATTTGCTCGTGGAACTGCCTCGGGTGGTGCGCCACTTGTCCGACTGGCTATCTACAAAGTCTGCTGGGCTATTCCAGGCCAAGGAAAAGAAGATGGAAATACATGCTTTATGGAAGACATGCTGGCTGCAATGGATGATGCAATTGTTGATGGTGTTGATGTATTGAGCATTTCAATTGGAACAAATAATCCTGTTCTGTACAATGAAGATGGTATCGCCATTGGAGCGCTTCATGCGATCAAGAAAAATATAGTGGTGGCTTGCAGCGCTGGGAATTCTGGCCCTGCACCAGCTACCTTATCTAACGTGGCTCCTTGGATTATCACAGTTGGTGCTAGTAGCATCGATCGGATGTTTTTAGCACCTGTTGTGCTAGGAAATGGCATGAAAATTATGGTAAACCAAGCACTCAGACTTAGGAAAAAATCATCCGACAATACCGTTGATCCTTGATTTAAGTTCCACTTTCTTTTGTGAATTTTCTCAGGGACAAACAGTAACTCCATATAAGCTGGAAAAAAAGATGTACCCACTAGTTTATGCAGCACAAATAGTAGATCCTGAAGTGCCTAAAGATATCTCCGGGTTCGCTCTCTCTCTCTCTCTCTCTCTCTCTCTCTCTGTGTATTTGTGCGTGTGTTGAATTTTGAACATTGATAATGTGAAGGCAATGTTTACCTGGTTCACTTTCATCGAAGGCGGCAAAGGGGAAGATTGTATTATGTCTGAGAGGAAATGGAACAGGAGTGGGAAAAGGTTGGGAAGTGAGAAGGGCTGGAGGGATTGGTTTCATCTTGGGAAATAGTAAAGCAAATGGAGCTGAATTAGCAACTGATGCTCATTTACTTCCAGCCACTGCTGTCAATTATGAATATGCTCTCAAAATTCTCAACTACATCAATTCTACGAAAACGCCAATGGCCTATATAGCACATGCTACGACTGTGTTAGATAGCAAACCAGCACCATTCATGGCTGCCTTCACTAGTAGAGGCCCGAGCACGATTTCACCCCACATTCTCAAGGTAAGCAGAGATACCGATTGATATCTAACTAATGCAATATAGGACCTTGATTGAGTAAAACCCACGCAAGTAACTTTAATAGCTTGCTTGGCAGCCGGATATTACGGCTCCGGGGCTAAATATATTGGCTGCATGGAGTGAAGCCTCATCTCCAACGAAACTAGATTTTTGGACTTACAACATCAACTGCAACGTACATCATATTTTCATTTTTATTTTTTTTTTTTGAACTTTTACTAATACAGCCCGCACTGGATTAATTTTCTGGGTCCGCCCCTCCAACTAGTACTATGTATGTCGCAGAAAAATGTATCCGCCATTCAATTGATGCGCAGACATTTTTCTAGCCTTGGTTCAAAAAATAAAATCAATGTAATTTCCATCTTGACACCAAATATGAATTTCCAAAATCAAGAGTCTGGAATTAGGATTTAAACAATGCATTTAATAAATCTAAAAACATATTCTATTTATAGAATCCTTTTTCTAATTCAAGACTTTACACACAAATTGAAGGTCACAGTTGGAAACTTCTTTCATTAATTTATTTTCAAATGTCGAACGGTCCAACTGATGACTTGTTCATAATTTTTGTTTAAAATTACTTGCAGTACTGAGGAATCTTTGACCAGCAGTATAAACACAACAAATGACCAAATAGATACTCCAAAATATAGTTAAAAAAAAAAAGTAACAATGAAATGAATTATTCAAACAAGTTCTAGACTCTTTCCCAGAAAATTCAAACAAACTCTAATTTTACAATTGCTTAATGCGTGGAATTTTTCTGGTTTGAATTTAAAATGGCCATCCATGATTAGTGATTTCTTCAAATGCTGACAATTTCTTCACGAGTTACTCTCTTTACATATTCATAACAAACTTCATACGGAGAATGCTATAAATTAACCCAATGATCATATTCATGTATCTCAAATTTTGCTAACAATAAACTTGTCCTAGAATTATGAAGGCCCCCTCCAGTACATTCTTAATAGTTCTGTTCATTATTCATTTCTCGGTTTCATGTGCAAAGCGCCAGGTTTTGTGTCATTAAATTATCTGCTAATTCTGTGCATTCATTTGAATGTGGCAATTAATGATATATATAGCTTCCCAATTCCGCAGGTGTACATAGTTTACATGGGAGGACACGAAGAAAAGAGAACGTTACTCCAGACTGAAGACAAGCATTTCTCGTACCTAGCGTCTGTAAAAAATTCCACAGAAGAAGCAAAAGCTTCAATGGTGTACAGTTATAAGAATGTTATTAATGGCTTCTCAGCGTTTCTCACCGTAGAAGAAGCTCAAAAGTTATCTGGTAATTAATTTAACTGTATTGTATCAAAACTAAAGTGTTGTTAGTAGTTCGTTAATGTAATTTTTGGGCATTTATTTCTCTACAGAAATGGACGGAGTGGTTTCTGTATTCAAAAGCCACCACGTGAAGTACAGGATTCAAACTACGAGATCATGGGATTTCACAAACCTGCTCACCAGTGGAAATTCAGGCAATATCAGCGGAATTGGAGATGATGAAATACTGCAGAAGGCAAATTATGGAAAAGATATTATTATTGGCGTCCTGGACACTGGTTAGTATAAGTCTAAAGAACACGAAAAGTTTATTCTTTTTTTTTTTTTTTATTGTTCTAATAGAACCAGTTTTTGCTATGACTATTTCTAGACTACTTCGATAAGTATTGGAATAATTACCTGTCATTTACTAATTCCACCAAAACTAATTATTTCTTTGCTTTCATGGCATCAGAATAAAGGAAATCTTGCAATTTTTTCTGTTCTCCAGAAAGTGGCCTTGTGTTGCTCGTGCAGACAAGTTCTCGGATTTCTTATTTGATTTCTTATTTTATATCAATATTGACCCTCTACCCTCTTGAAAATGAAGGTGTTAAATTATAAACCCTAATTCAAGAACCAACAAAAAAAGGTCTGCCGTATAAATCTGTTTTAAAAAACACTAGTTTCTGGCCTATACTTTGCCGCTGTTAATTTGCGCAGCAACAGTTCTGATGCCGGTTTTGCTTCTGGTTGTTTCTTCTGCTATGACTTGCGCAGCACCTGTTGTTGGTGCCGAGGTCTTCTATTCTTGACAGAGTTTGTGTTTGTTGCTTCTTCTTGCTGTATTGTTGAGTCTTATATTACCTCTAATTTTTTGTGGTTCAAAGACACAAGTTTTGCATGCAATTTATGAAAATTCTAACAAAAAGATGTACCCAAATACATTGTAGTTTGATTACTTTTGAGGTTTACATGTTCGAAAATATTGTGCTTAACCAGACAAGATCTTCCGACCCTAAGGGTATGTTTGTTATGCACTAGGTGATGTGATTAGACAATATCATAAAACAAAATTATAACTCTTCAGCTGCTCTTTAATACCGTCGAAGACATTATAGTCCACCTTACTAAAAAAGTCCTAAAAGTACAAAGTTTTGATGGTTTTAGACAGAATTAATAACTTCATCAGTAATAGTAGATTCTAAGAATGCAATTTCATTGAGCAGGAGTATGGCCAGAGTCAGAGAGTTTTAGTGATGAAGGAATGGAACCCGTTCCAAGTTCATGGAAAGGAATCTGCGAATCTGGAATAGCTTTTAACTCATCTCATTGCAACAGGTAACATTAATTTTAATTTTCTATGACATATGTTTAAATTAGGATGAACAAAATATTATAGTATCTGATGTTAAATCAATCTTCTGTAGAAAATTGATAGGAGCGCGCTACTATTTAAAAGGTTACGAGGCATATTACGGCTCCTTGAATGAGATGATAAACTACCGATCTGCACGGGACAGGGAAGGACATGGGACTCACACGGCTTCAACCGTGGCAGGCCGCGAAGTGCACAACATCTCACTCCTCGGCGGCTTTGCCAGTGGCACAGCCAAAGGTGGTGCTCCTCTTTCACGACTTGCAATCTACAAAGTATGTTGGACGATCCCCAGTGAGTCAAAGGTACTTGAGAGCACATGTTTTCACGAAGACATGCTGGCAGCATTCGATGATGCCATTGCTGATGGTGTCCATGTAATAAGCATCTCGATCACGCCATATCAAAATATCGAATACACAAAAGATGGGATTGCTCTGGGAGCACTGCATGCTGCTAAGAAAAATATCGTAGTGGTGGCGAGTGCTGGAAATTGGGGCTCGGCCCCATCAACCGTAGTAAATGTGGCGCCCTGGATACTTACGGTGGGGGCCAGTAGCATTGATCGAATTTTCAGCTCGCCTGTTTTGCTGGGGAATGGAATGAAAATTGCAGTAAATTCTATTGCATTATACGCTTGATTTCAGGTCCTTCGAATATCATTCTTTTTGCAAAATTTAAATCCTTTGACATGGTTATATGATCCAGGGTCAAACTGTAACGCCATACAAGTTAAAAGCTGTGCGCCCTTTAGTTTATGCTGGAGATGCAGAAGCCCCTGGAACAACAACTAATGATACCACCGGGTAATTACAATAATTTATTAGGAGAACATTTGATTCAGGGAAATGATAACACCCGTCACCCGATATGTTATTGCACTCCACCTTGTCAAACAAGCCATCTGGAAAATTTCTTGATCCCTTTGCACCTGATTTTTTCCAGGTTATGCCTTTCCGGAACTCTTTCACAAGAAATTGTGCAAGGGAAAATAGTTTTGTGCTTGAGGGGAAATTCAAGTAATGTAGAAAAAGGTATGGAGGTGAAAAGAGCAGGCGGTGCCGGATTCATTTTGCAGAATCCTGTGGATGGAATTGGAGTATCAGTTGTTGCTCATGTACTTCCTGGAACTGCCATATTTTCAAATGATTCAGCCACTATTCTCAATTACATAAGAACAAACAAAAATCCGACCGCAAGAATAGTTCTAGGGAGAACTGTTTTGGGTAGTAAATCGTCACCATTCATGGCCGCCTTCTCCTCGAAAGGTCCCAATGGCCTAGAACCCAACATTCTAAAGGTATTTAGGACTTCTAGATACTCTTTTATTCTCCATCTGAAAGTTTAAGTTGTCAGTGGTTAAATTGTTTTCCACACATACAATGATTGATGGCTGCTACTGAATTACAGCCCGATATAACTGCACCTGGGCTAAATATCTTGGCAGCATGGAGCGAGGCAACCTCTCCCACAAATCTATTCGCAGATAATCGGGTGGTGAAGTACAACGTTCTCTCAGGGACTTCCATGTCTTGCCCTCACGTAGCGGCAGCAGCCGCCCTCATCAAAGCAGCGCATCCAGATTGGAGCAGCGCCGCCATAAGATCAGCCATGATAACTACCAGCACTCAAACCAACAACATCGGCACCCCAATAACCGATGCCAATGGAAATCCAGCAACTCCCTTCCATTACGGGTCGGGTCACTTCCAACCCTCAAAAGCAATGGATCCAGGCCTGGTTTACGACTCAAATTACACTGACTATCTTCTTTTCCTTTGCAACTATAACAACACTGTAAAAAATGTGGATCCATCATTTACTTGTCCAACGGAATTTACGTCGCCAAGTAATCTGAATTATCCAACAGTTACAGCCTCCTTCATCAACGGCGAGGTTTCGGTGCACAGAACGGTGACCAATGTCGGTGTCGGAAGAAGTGTATATAATCTGAATATCGAAACCCCAGTTGGGTATTCAGTAAAAATTTCTCCAACCACATTGAATTTTGTGCATTTAGGGGAAAGGAAGAACTTCACCATTACAATTAAACCAGAAAACGGGGTCACAAAAGATGACTATGCGTTTGGTTCGTACACATGGAGTGATGGAATTCACAGTGTAAGAAGTCCAATTGTGGTTCTTTAGATGAATACTAGTCTTTCACCTGTGCCATGTACGGTGGATTCACAAATTATAAATTTCATAACTCACACGGACAGATATAGTGTAAACTGTACAAATATTTAATTGGATACAAACTGTAAAAACGTATCGCACGGTGGATGCACAAATTATAAATTTCATAAC